GGACCGCCTGAGGGCGCCAGAACCACACTGGTGATGCTCTCCTGCCCAGGCAGACCTAGTCCCTTTCAAAACGGTTCCGCAAACTAGAGATGACATTGGTCTCTACAGCCCTGGGATGCGCCCGCACCTTTCCTCTCCTTTCCTATCTGAAATTAGGAGGGAGCCAGTGAGAAATAATTGGCAGCGGGGGAGAAAGGGTGCAGCGGGCCACCTCCTTGGGAGGGAGGGACGGAGAGGCAGTGAGTTCCTTCCGGGCAAAGTGGGGTCGGAATTCCCTGCTTTCCAGGGGCCCAGCGCATCTTCAGGTGCTCACTCCTCAGGCTTCCCAGCCTCGGGTAATGAGGATGGTGTGAGGGCAAGCAGCCAGCCACACATCTCCCCAAATCTTCAGGGATACCAAGAATTGCTTCCTGGCTCGAGGCCCCATGTTTGCTGATGGCGACAAGCAGATGCATTCCCTCTTGCTCAGGGCTCCTCAGCACCGGGGCCTCTCTGTCACCAGCAGCCGCTGTCTGTTTTCCCATCCGCGGAGACTTCCAGAGGGTAGGGGTGGGGTCCCCCTCTCCTCTGTATCCACCCAGGCCCGAAGACCAGCGGGCACTTAGCAAATGTTTGCTGAACAGGTTAATTCATTTTCACTTAACGAGCTCATTAAGACTCTGTTTTTCTCCTAATTAGGAAGCTGGAGGGTTCCTTGTCCCCCTGTAACTACCCGCCTTTGGGGGATGATGGCAGAACCCCCACCTCCACCAGCAGAAGGCGACCACACTGGATTCCTGGGGACACGATGGCATTTTTAAGAAATAAAAAGTGTGCTCAGTGAGGTGCATCTAAGCAAAACACTTGCCTATGAAAAGGTTCACGGGCGCTAGACATCCTTACCCAGTTCCTCCTGCGGAATCAGCACGTCACAGGGCGCCTCTGCAGCTGTGGGTGGCAGGCACAGTCTCCTGGCAGGGACACGACCCTGAGGGCAGGGATGGGGCCAGGGCCTCGGCCTGTCGTGTCGGAGGGCGCCTGAATGGGGTTCTGGAAGACGCTCCATCATCAAAGGCTCTGGGCCAGGCTGCTGCCTCGGAACCACATGCCCCTTTGGTCTTTGCTGGTAACAGAGCGGAAGGTGAGGAGAGAGGTGTAGCAGTTCACTGGGCCAATTCCAAACGCCAGGCTGCCCCCAGTCTGCCTGCGGGCATCTGCACCGTGTCCCTGGGGTCTGAGTCTCTGAGAGCAAATGGCCAGCCAGGCCGTCTGTCCCCGAAGGCCCCTGATCAAATGACACCAGCCAGAGCTCCGTGCTCCAAGCCTTTTTTTTTTTTTTTTTTTTTTTTTTTAATATATTTTATTGATTTTTTACAGAGGGAGAAAGAGGGTTAGAAACATCGATGAGAGAGAGTCATCGATCAGCTGCCTCTTGCACACCCCTTACTGGGGATGTGCCCACAACCAAGGTACATGCCCTTGAGTGGAACCGAACCCGCGACCTTTCAGTCCGCAGGCCGACGCTCTATCCATTGAGCTACACCGGTCCCAGGGGTGCTCCAAGCCTTAAAGCGAGACTCTCTGGGCCGGTCTCTGCAGTAGAAGCAGATTTAGGCCCAGGGCTCCCCTTGTGGATGCTGAGAGTGCTCACAGCTCACACTGAGGCACCCGCCCAGCCCAGAGGTCCCAGGAGGAGCCGTCATCTCACCGCTTCCCTCTCCCTAGAAGGGAGGCCCATCTGTGGTTATTCCCAGGCAGGTGGGCCCTCTCCCCCCTCCTCCTCCAGCCTCCTCTCCTCCTGTGGCTGCCATCTTGGGGGAGGGGGCGAAAGGCCCCCGACTCCTGGGCGCTCAAGGACACAGGCGTTGAAGTGGTCGGGTCATTATGTCGATAATGAAGCGGGCAAAAAGGGAAAGAAAAAAAAACAAGTCCAGTGGCTCCGAGCAACGAGGCCTGTGAGTGGCTGGAGGTTGTGTTCTGACAGAACGCCGAGGGCCAGACATTGTGTGGCAGGAGCTTTATTTTCCCCTCAAAGAAGCCCAGCTCATTCCCCCCCTCCCACCCCCATTAATTGGCAGCAGATGAAGAAAAAAAAAAAAAAAAAAAAAAACAAAAGCCAAAACAAAACCCGAACTAACGCCAGTAGCCTGAGTATGAGTGTTTCTGAAAGGGAAAAGCCGTTTCCATTGTTGGATGTCCAAGAAAACATGAATCCATGCTGACAGAGGAAACGGCCACAATGAGAGGAAGAAGAGGGAGAGGTTCATAAAATTAAGGAAAAAAATTCCTTTCAGCTGCTCCCATCCTGTGAGCGGGCTCCTCTGGCCTCGGTCCCTGAGGGGCCTCCCTGGGGGCTTGAGGAAGTGGGGGCAGGGGAGGGGGAAGGGCCAGGAATCCCTTCAAAAGAGCAAAGGCCGGAGGGAAGGCATCCTTCGCCTCAGCCCACAGGCACAGCCTTCCCCAGGAGGAACCTGGAAGACTGTCTCCCCAGAAGGACGAGGGCTCCCAGTGCTGCTCAGCTCTGCGGCCTCAGGAAATGCCCCCAGGAGACTGAGGCTGCCTCTGAAGCCCCCAGTCTCTATCCCGATTCCAAGGATCCCCGTCTCCTTTGGTGCTTCTGTGTGGCCACCACGTGCCAACTCCTTACTCCTTTTCTCCTTCACACACACACACACACACACACACACACACACACACGGAAAACGTGAATCACACCAGGTACTTTCTTGCCTCAAAGGATGTTTCAGAAAATAAAACAGGCGAAAGGTCGAGGCTGAGTCTTTGGGGACCAGACTCAGGCCACAGCCAATGTGCTGACCACAAGGTGGATGGGTCTGTGGGACCCACAGGTGGGAGGGGCTGGAGGCCACCTAGACTGATGGGCAGCACCCGCGAGGGTGACCCAAGAGCTGGACTGGGCATTGAGACTGGTTTCTAAGGTCACGGCTTTGGTAAGGTGACCAGACGTTCCGATTTTTAACAATTTGATGCGGGACGAATTGTTAAAAATCGGGACTGTCCCGCCAAAAGCGGGACGTCTGGTCACCTTAGGCTTTGGTCACAAACCACAGGAATCCACGGCAGCACCCACAGTCACGCTGCTTAGTCCGCTCTGCCCAGCTCGATGGGTAGCAGCAGGTCCTTGTTCTTCTCGGGCCGTCTCCACATCCACCTCCGGAGCCCTGGCCGAGCTGGATGCTGAGACCTGCTGGTGATGCTGCTGGAACTCAGCCCCACGTGCGCGGGCGTCGCCGAACTTCCATTCCTCGCGGGCCAGTGGTGCCTGGTGGAGGCGCTGAGGCTGGAAACTCCTTTCTGGCTGCGGGCTGGGATTCTGCTATTTCTTTTAATATATTTTATTGATTTTCCACAGAGGGATAGAGGGCTAGAAACATCGATGAGAGAGAAACATCAACCAGCTGCCTCTTGCAAACCTCTTACTGGGGATGTGCCTGCAACCAATGTACACGCCCTCGACCGGAATCGAACCTGGGGCCTTTTAGTCCACAGACCAACGCTCTATCCACTGAGCCAAACCAGTTTTGGCAGAGAGGAAGCAGGAAAGGAAGGGCTGAGTAACAGCAGCCTGGTCTGCCCCCAACCTGTGGGGAGAATCCCTGCTCCCCGCAAGGACAGGGACGAGATAGAGGGGAGTCTGTGTGGGAGTGTGTTTTTCTTAAACAATTTATTTATCTTCATATTTTTATTAATGTCAGAGAGAAAGGGAGAGGGAGAGAGAGAGAGAGAAACATCAATAATGAGAGCGAATCATTGATCAGCTACCTCCTGCGCGCCACACACTGGGGACTGAGCCTGATCAGCAATCGAACCCTGACCACCTGGTTCACGGGTTGACACTCACCTGAGCCACCGGCAGGCTGTGTGGGAGTGTTTTTTGGTGTAAAAACTGTGTGGATGACCAGCAGGGCTCATGTCCCAGCAGATCCGGATTCCCTTTCTCCCAGGAGCGGGATGACAGCGAGGCCATGTAGACCCAAAGCCCTGGCCATGGAGCCTGCCAGTCTGGGCTCCAGAGCCTCCTCTGCGTATGGGCTGTGGGACCTTGGGCGAGTTCCTATCCCTCTCTGAGCCTCCCTTCCCCCATGTTAAATGCCTCACAGGGTTGCCAGGACAAATAATGGGGAGAGTCTTGTTATGTGTCAGCATTTAAAGTGACCACGCTGGAGCCTGAACGCCGATCTGGCTGCACCTTCCTGCATGTTGGCTCTCACGGGGGCAAAGCAAACCCCTCTGCCCCACCCACTGCCGCAGCCCTGAGCTGGGCTCCGCTCCTCCCTCCCACCACCCATGCGCAGGCGACACACCGGTGGTGAGCACTGGCCCCTCAGCCACCCTCTGTGGTGTATAAAAAAAGGGACGTGAGAGTACATATTAAATGACTATTTTATTTACACACCCTAGTCATAAATAATTGAATCCTCTTTTTCACCGCACAATGATTCCTTGAAGATCTAATGATTACACCGAGTGATAAAGTGGATTAGTGGGCTTCTCACATCTGTGTGTGACGCGTGTGCGCACACTTGCACATACACACACACACACACACACACACACACACAGACACGCACACACCGGGGGAGGGGAGGCGGGACTCCAGGCCTTCCGGCTCTCCCAGCACCAGCACTGGGCTCCCACCGCAGGGGGGCCGGTGGGAAAACCGTGCTCCCCGAACAGGTGTGAATTCCTGACGCCGAGAACAAAGCGCTGCGGCCCAGGCGGCTCCACCGGTCCTCCCCGCGGAGCTGCTTGCCTTTGTTCATCCTGCAAGGCGTCTCTTTGGATTTGCAAATATTTTAATTCACAGAAACTCAAGGAGAGGGGGTGGGTGGGTGGGGGCTGGGGTGGCTTGTTGGCCGTCCCTCTTGTCTTTATCCAGGCCTTTCCCAGCCCCCTCAGTGGCAACAGCATTCGAGAGACATGCAGTGGTGTGCTAGTACCATACACACGACACGAACTGGACACGCCGGGCGGCGGGGGCGCGGGGCAGGCCGGTCCTCTCACAGGGTCCGCACGGCCACGGGGTAGAGGAGGGACAAGTGCTCCGCGCCTTTGATGGGCAGCTTCCTGGTGGTGTAGTAATGGATGACTTCCGGGACGCTGTCGAACGGCGGGCTGTTCTGACCCAGGATGTACTTCTCTTTGGTTTTGGCCAGTTTCATGTGCATAAAGCCCTGGTTGCTCCTGCGAACAGAACACAGTGGGTGTCAGGATCTGCAGGATGACAGAGGCCGTGGCCGCCATCCTGCTCGGGCCCCGGGGGCAGGTGCAGGAGGGCTGAGGGCCACTCGAGATTTTGCTGTGAACAAACAGATGTCACGTATGCACACTCATGATCTGGGGAGCTACCCCTCGGGCTAAATTCCTGTTAAGGCGCGAAGGTCCCTTGCTGGGATCCCAGCCATGAAGTGCCTCTCTGAGTCAGGACCCAATGCAGCTGTGCCTAGGGGCCCCCCTAGTCCCAGCATCAAACTGGGAACCAGCAGCAGACACCCTGCAGGGGAGTCTTCCCACCTCAGGACCTCGGTCTTCCTGTTCCTCATGCAGTCGTCATGTATTGAGGCCTTGTCTGGAAGATGCAAAGTGTGAATCTCTGATGCCCTCACAAGTGGGCAGGAAGGAGTCATCACCCCCGGTTTTCAGACGAGGACAGAGTGGGCAGGGATGACAGGCAGTAGGTGGGGCAGAGGGGTCTGCTTTGTGCCATTCAATACAGTATGGAACTGTCGCTGGGAAGGGACTGTCCAGCTGGGAGTACATTTCCCAGCTTCCCTGCAGCCACTGTACCCATGTGATTAGTTTTAGCCAATGGGATAAGGGGAAATTTGATCTTTCTCAGAGCTGCCCCAGGGCAGGCACTCTCCCCTCTTCCTCCCTCTGCTCAGCAAACCCTGCCTCCTTCTCCAAGGCCCAGGGAGTCTTCAAGACTCCCACAGGCAGAGCTCCGTCCTCTGCCTGCATGGAGGACCAGCACACAATGGAGGAACATGCCTCCACCTGCACCTGCTTTCTTATAACTAGAGGCCCGATGCACGAAAAGCCACAGCGGCTGCAGCTCCAGCTCCGTCCCGGAAGGACGTCCAGAAGGACGTCCGGTCTAATTAGCATATTTTGCTTTTAATATTATAGATTACTTATCCACCTTCCGAATCCCTAAGAATTCCAGAGTAAGGTCTGTGTCCGCCATGCCCAGCACCTGCTACAAAGGGTAGTGGGTGGGTTCCTTGGAGATCAGAGCACAGCCCTGTGCCCCGTGCCCCTGGCAGCCTGCCAGCTGTGCCAGCATGCTGCGTGGGGTGCAGCTTAGGGACTGTGGAGGCCATGCTGCTCTCCCCTGGCCCGAGAGGACCTCTCACACCTTCCACCCAGGGCCCTGCCACATCGAATCTCTCCCTCTCCACCAACCTGCCTGTGCCCAGCTTACCCTTTTCCTGCCCACTCAGTTCCAAGCCTCGCCCTTAGGATTTTGCTGCCACATCTGTGGACCCTGAGGTCTCCGACCTCCTGCCGCCTCCTCCAAGTTATCGTGTCTGGACACCGATAATTTGTGACCAGGGTCCGGCGTCCAGGAGACCAAGGCCAGCGCTCTGTGTGGACACAGGCTTCCTTTCTAAGCTCCGGCCCTTCCAGCTCTGGCTGCGGGCCCGGGGGCACTGAGGGCTTGCACACCTCTCCCAGCCAGGCTTGGGTTCCCCTCGCCATGAGCGCCTGTCCTTATTAACGCATCAATTTGGACTCGGGGACCATTTTCAAATGGGCAGAGCAAATGCTTAATGAAGTGCAGGCGCTGAGCAATACATCTGCTCGTAATAACGTATTTAGAGATGTCACCCTTGGCTTAAAGGAAATCGTTTGGAGAGCAATTATGTTTCAAGAGAGAATAACTCCTGTAAAGAACTGAAATTTAAATCAAGATTTTTTAAGGCTGACAATGTTCTAATTACAGAGCCTGTGGCGAGTTCTGCTCTGCAGTGAAGGGTCATTTCACCGGAGAATTGCCTCAACACATGGGAGAAGCAGGGGGCGCGCTTGCAGAGGCTGTTAGGGCGGGAAGGGCGGGAATGGTGTGCGTGCAGTGAGAGACGCATAGCAACCTCTGAACAGAGACTTGGCCGCCCACCGCACCGGAGAGACCGCAGACCAGGCTAAGGAAACGGGGAAGAGTGAACACAGCTTGGGGTGAGTGTGGGGAGCGAGGGGGCTGGAGCTGCAGGCGAGTTCAGGCTCAGGCAGGGAAGGCAGGACCTCGGGCACATCACGCCCCTTTGTGAGCTGAGTGCCAGACCACGCTCTCCCATTACACTGAGGGGCCAGATTATGATGATCTCTGAACACATAATAACCTGGCCCCTCAGTGTATTTGCGTCTCACATGGGTACCAAAAGCAGTCTAGACTTTTGCTGGCGATCAGCCACCTATTTGCCCTGAGCTTTCTCTATCAGCCGGTGCAAAGGGGAAAACGGATCAGGTGCGCGATCCGTTTAGTATCTTTGATATAAAACAAATGAGGTACTCAAGAGAAGTACACCGAGTGGCCAACTACTATGCGTTCAGAGGTCCTAGTGACCTGGCCACTTGGGTGCAGGCACAGAGCTGCAGGGAGAGCTGACTGAGTTTTTAAGGAGATGAAGGAAAGCCACTCACAGGATTAACGGGGCAGTTTCACACAGGTCGCTATCAGAACATCCAGCAAGGGCCGTGGCCGTGATGGTGGCAACAGCTGACTCAGCCAGAAATGGAGGCAGGAGCGCCCGCCCCAGCCACGGGGTCGACATGGCCACCGGGTATTAGAGATGCGACACTGATGCCCCCCCCTCAACAGACATGGGTGTGTTCGAGGCAGGGGGCCTCCTGAACTCCCTCCTGACCCTCCAGGCCTACTGCCTGGCGCTTGTCTTTCTGAGCGTCAGAACCGAGCCCGGCGGTGCCAAGGCGGCAGGCCAGTCATGAGCTTCAGCAGAGAACTCGGGCCCTGTGGCCCCAGCCTCAGCCCGTGGTCTGACCGTTCCCTGGCAACCCAGGTTAAAAGGCCAAAAGCGGGCCCTCCCAATGGGGACCCTGCAGGAGAGGCTGCCCCCATCCCCAATGGATGCCTGGCAGCCTGACAGGACAATCTCTGAGGGTGCTCCTGGGCTTCAGGTCATGGATTCTCTGAGGGTAAGCACAATCCCTGCCTACTCCGCGAGGGCTTCTTGCAGGAAGGGTCCTGGAGGCACCCACACCCCCCTCCACGGCTGTCCCTGTGCCTCCGTCCTACTCCCACAGGGCACCTGCCTTCAGGGCCGATGTTCCCTGGGCACTTCCTGTGAGCCAGGCCGGGAGCTGAGCATGAAGGTTCAGGGGGAAGAGGCTGACCCGTTGGCCACACAGCAGCGGGCAGTGGTGCTGCTGCTTCCCCGCCCGCAGGCCTTTCCCAGAGCCCACCACCCGCTCCAGACACAGTCCCCAAGGCGCCCACGCTGCCCGGCGATGGCGGGTCCTGACCCACCCATAGGGCCGGCAGGCTCTGAGAGGTGAGCAGGCTTTCTTTCCGAGACAACCTGTCAAAGGTCAGGCAAAGCCTCATCGAAACACACCCAAGAGATGTGTTGTCACAACGCGTCCCGATTGGCCACAGGGCTGCCACGAGATGCCACCTAACAACAGCTGAGTACTAGTCGCCAGACGTGGCTGTAGACTCCCAGCTCCACGGAAGAGCACAGGAAGAGAAAAAGCTAGAGCTTCCTGGGGACCGTGGGGGCACCAGGCAACCAGCACGCACAGGGATGCTCTGCCGCTCGGACAGTGGCCCTGGGGACCATCTCCTCTCACTCTCCCGGGCACCTGGGTGGAAACCGAATTCAGAGAGAGCAATGCTCTGGCCTGAAGCCCACAACAAGGACGACTTCGGCTCCAGCGGAACCCAGGGCCCTTGCGTTCCAGCCACCTCCTCCCCCCAGCCTCCCTCCGGCTCCGGAGAGGCAGTGGTCCCCGGGGAGCTCAGACAGGCTGCCGCCACCTGTCCAGCTCCCGTACGGCCCTGCCTGTCTCCTTTGATAGGACATCCTGCGAAAGTCACAATCGGTGGCGTCTCTGGTGGCTGACCTGTCTGATGATGAGTCTCGTGAGGCTCTGAGGCTGGGGGTGCCGGGGCTGTCCGGGCCTTCAGATCGCTCATTATCATCACAAAAAGCACCTCCCCATCGCCGGGATCATCAAACACGCCGGCCCGGCGCGCCAGCCTAATAACAGGCCCCACCTCGTCCCGTAACCACGGGCTTTCATAAAACATCACTCAGCCCGCAGCTGCAGGGCCGAGCAGGGCGCGGGCCTCACCTCTCGCTTTTAGACCTAATTGCTTGATGCATATTTCATGAAGAATCCCGGGTAATACTTATGTTAAATCGCTTCTTTTCATGATGAAATTACTTAAAAATACTTGCATATCATATTTATGTGAGAGGCGGCGAGGAAATTGCCCTCTGGGACCAGCGTGCAGCCCCAGTGGCAGGTGTCTCGGGCGCACTTCTGCCAAAGGCAGCTGGGGAGCTGCTTTCTTGACGGGGATACCCTCTTGCCCAAGATGCCCCGGAACATCGTCCCTGGCCCCCCACTGCCACGGCAGGATGAACGGCACCGCACTGGCACTGCTAGAGTCCCTACTGTGCGCCAGGCACCAGGCTGAGCTGTTGCCACACGTTGTCTCGCTTAAGCTCACAGCAAGTTGCTCAGTTGGTGTAACTATCACTGTTTACAGATGGGGAAGCCTGGGGGAGGTGGCCTGCCTTGTCCCACAGGACACAGTGGGGCCAGGATTTCACTCTGTCTGTCTGACCCGGAGCCTGTGTTCTCTTCTTAGCCTGTGGACAGCATCCAGGGCCCTGAAGTTGCCACGGTAGCCTCGTCTTCCCTATTCACCACCCAAGCAGGTGGACCAGGTGTCCAGGTGGCCCTTGGGACTCTGTCTTGAGACCTGGCTTTCCTGCAACTCTGAGCTCCCGAGGTCATGAACCCTGTCTGTTTGTTATGATACTACTCGGCAGGACAAGCCCTCAGCACATGCCTGGCACAGTCTGTCTGTCCATTTATCCATTCACCTAGCAGTTATCCAACAAGAGTCTACCCTGAGCCAGGGAAATGAGGACCTCGGCACTGTAAACTCCCCAGAGCAGGCTGGTGGCCACTTACCTTGACCCCTAGTGTGT